GCCGCGGGGCCGAGCCCCGTCCCTGCCTTCCTTCTGTCGGCATCCAGGGCAGGCGGCTTTGCTGTTACAGCTCTTAAACTGCATCACTTTAACTACGGGAGCGGAGAATGAGCATCTCCGCTGCCTGGGGACACTTCCCTTAGTATCTCGTAGTAGTGGGCTCCGTTCAGCTTGGGTTTTGCTGCTCTGTGCCTCGCACAGAGGGTTTTAGTTAGTTTCTTTACTCCACTGAGCAGTCTTAAATAGAAAAATCTCCCTGTGAGGTTAAGAAAAGACCCCAAATCCCCACGCGACCTTACCATGAGCCTCGGGGGGGTTCCCATGCTTTTGTTCAGCTGTGGCTGGCTCCCGGGCCCCCCCCGTCGCAGCACCTCACCCTTTTTTTCCCGCGCCGCCGGTGCTGGCTGATGGAGGGAGGATGCCGGGGCTGGAAACGCTGCTGCTGACACAGACGGGGTTAGAAAGGCGGCGCTGAACTGCACCGACACCTTCGGCGGAGGCCACGGGCTGCATTCGTCAAATTCTGCCTAATTAGATCTTAGCCCTGCGCTGTCTGCTTGGCAGAGGCGGCTCCGGGGGCTTTAGTGGCAGCTCCCTGCTGCAGGCTGCGTGAAGGGGTTAAAACCCACCGTGCCTCACCTCACCCCGACACTGCATGAGAAACATCCAGCTGAGTGAATTCAAACCAACTTTCAGTGTTTTATTAAAGACAAAAGCAAGCGAGTGGCTCGAGCGTCTCTCTGGAGGCCCCTACCTGCCTCCTGCGCCGTGAAACGCGCCGTGTCCCACCACCGGCTCCACCTGTGGACAGGGCATGCTAACGCCTGGGAAATTTCCTTTTTTAAGCATTATTCGGGTATAAAGGAGGGACAGAAATATCCCACCCGTGTGCCAGGCCAGTGCCGAGCTCCTCCCTCACCTCTTGGAGAAGAAAACCCTTCCCCTAAGCCGCTGCCCTCATTATTTTGCAGGAGTTTGAGACCCCCACCAAGAGGAATTCACCAGGGTGGGTTTAACCTCTTTAAGATGCAACTCGCCGTGCAAGTTTGAGCATTTCTTTTATTTTTACACTTAA